GTACATTTCCTGGTATGTGGGGCAGGAAACATAGCCTTATTTGGTGTTTTTAGGGTGGTAATTTTGCTAATCTCTCGTGCACGAGCAGCTGAATATGAACAAGTGGCATTCATCAGTTTATGATGCTCATTTACACTTTTCCTGAAGATAGAAGAGTTTGTTGAATCTGACGTGACATGTTCGTACGAACCCTTTGTACGAACAAAAGTAAGAGAAATTTAGGAGAAGAATACGAACATGTTCTTCCATGAGGCCCAATGTCTTTATTTTTAATAAGTTGTCTTAATGTTGGTTGTTCAGCCTTAGCTGAAGCTGTCATCTTGCATGTTTGTGGTTTAGGGAAAGGTCGGACAGTTCCCATAAGGCCAAGCGAGCGTTGACGTCAGAGGAGCGTTCTGGCAGCGTGTCATCTCCTTCCAGGGGAGCATCACCTGCAGCGAGGAAGAAATCCACCTCTCCCAAAGTTTCGTCCCATAAAACCTCATCACTCGCCTCCCCACCCCAGAGGTTGGTGTCTACAGKATCTGTTTTATAATAGAGAAGAGACGTGTAAATAATGGTTAATATTACTGAGCACTGTTTGGTTTCTGCAGGTCTCCTTCCCCTCCGCACCACCAACGCAGTCCCAGTCCTCCTCGCCACCACTCCCAGCGCTCCCCGTCCTCCCACTCGGGTTCCTCCGCCCACCATCACTCTCCCTCGCCCCGTCGGCGTCGCTCCTCTTCTCCCGCCTACCACCGAAGCACCGCGGCTCAGGCGTCCGCCTCCTCACCTCYGCGCTCTCGTCGCTCTCGGTCGCCCCCGACCTCCCACGACGCCTCCTCGCCCCATCGAAGGTCCAACAGGTCGAGCCCCAGCCAGCGCCGCTCCAGGGGCCGAGAGAGGAGTCGCGGGGACAAAGAGAGGAGTCCACCCACACAGGAGCGCAGACACGAGCACAAAGAGGGTATCTTTCTTTGTTCTAGTTTTAGCTGTTTAGTATTTAATTGGTTTTTAAAGATTTATTATTTTCCTCCTCTCTGAACAGAAATCCGAAGCAAACGGGAAAAGGAGAGTGTCCGCGACGACCGAGACTACGACTCTGAAGTGCTGTCGTTGCGGGACGCTCGAGACGACAGGGAGACCAGAGAGGCTCGAGATCGACGGGACGCTCGTGATCGGGGAAAAGAAACGGCTCGGGATAATCGAGACAACCGTGATGCGAAGGACTCGAGAGAGAGCAGGACAGAGACGCGCTCCAGTCGAGAGTCGCTCGAACAGCGTGAGCGGGAGAAGGAGAGGGGGAGGGAGAAGGAGAGGGAGCGGAGTGACGCCTACAGGAAGGAGGACCCGGCTCAAGATGACAGGGTTTATGTTAGAGCTCACGGACGTGACGACGGAGGTCGAGCTGAAGTGAGGACGGAGAGCAGAACCGACAGAGCTGACAGGAACGACAGAGGAAGAGGGCGTGCCACAGAACCATCTGATAAAGGTAAGTGTTAATGTATCTGTGACAAAATCAAAATCTTAGCACAGGGAAATTAAACGTGTCTGTCTGTCTCAGGTTCAAACAGAAACTCCCGAAGCTCCCAACTGGATGGCAGCTACGATAACTGGGAGTCACGGAGTAGTGGGGTCCGGGAACGAAGTGTGGAGAGGACTGCAGAACGAAGCTCTGACAGGGTTTTGGACCGAGATCGCTACGAGACTGAYAGAAAGGAGCACGCCAGAGACTCGTCCTACGACAGAAGGGGAGGACATGGCGAGCGGGATCGCAGAGACAACAGAGAGAGAGGTGGGCATCATGGCTGGGAGAAAAATCAGAATTAAAACTTTGGCAAAACCTAAAATCACAAGTAGCGAGTGAGAAGAGGCAGACGGTAAAGCACCGTGTTAAAGTGGTTAAAATGTGCATAACTGCAAATACAAAAAGTCAAAGAAAATAACTTTTCTTTTTAAAAATATTGGCATAATGCTCATGATTTTACTCATTTTGTCACTTAACTGTCATATTTTCTTTTGAACTTAGCCCAGCCAAAGTGAAACAGGAAGTGACATCAAAGATGAACTCTTTAAGAATGAGAACTCTTTAGTCTTTGTTTTATTCAAACATTATTTGAACTCTGACTGTTCTTCATCCCTCTAATAATGACTCAAAATCCAAAGAAACGTCAGATTAACTGTGCTGTTGTCCGTTGCTGTAACGCTCTGTTTACATGCAGACATTCCCCTTTTGACATCACTTCCTGTTTCTTCATACTGAATATTTGAATGACTCAGTATGTTTATTTTTTATTTTGCAATTTGCGATCATTTTTTACAAAATGCATTCATGTTTATTACAAAAATGTAATATGACAGGCAATTTAAATAAACAGTTCAGGACTTTTAAAGCTGGGTCCTATGGAAAGGTTTTTGTCAGTAAATGTCTTACTTGTTTAAGATGGTGTTTTGAATGACCTCAGTCAAAAGTAAAAGATGAATTCTGGCAGGATTAGTTGAGTTAAGCTGTAGTATACTGCGGACTGGTGTAATCTGATTTGGTAACAGAAACGTTGATGTTCTCCAACACTGAGAGGAATCTCAGGTTGTTTTTTATCAGCGTTCTGTTCAAAATTTGGGAAATTATCATCTCAATAGATCAAAAATAACTTTAAAACCTGTAACTCAGCAGGGACAGGCTGCTGAAAAGCCCAGAGCTGGAAATGACTATTAATCAGTAATGATTTCTGTTTTTGTTTGTTTTTTTGTTTGTTTGTTGTTGTTTTCCTCAGACCAAAGAGCTACTTCTCCAAGCAGATACCAGAGGAGGTCAGAGGAGTCTGAGAGGGACGAGAGGAGGGAGGAGCGAAGGACGGACCGAGTAGACGACCGGCGGGATGACAGGGCTCGAGACAGGGAGCGAGAGAGGGAAAGGGAGCGGGACAGAGAGCGCGAGAGGGAGAAGGAAAAGGAGCGTGAGCGCGAGAGGGAGAGAGAGAGAGAGAAGGAGCGGGAGAAAGAGAGGGAGGCCGAGCGGGAGAGAGCCAGGGAGAGGGAAAGGGAACGAGAGAGGGAGAGGGAACGGGAGCGAGAAAGAGAGGAGAGGGAGCGAGAACGGGAAAGGGAGGAGCGGGAGAGGGAGGAGCGAGAACGAGAGAGGGAAAGGAAGGAGAGGGAGAGGGAAAGGGAGAGAGAGCAGAGGGAGAGGCAGCGGGAGTGGGAGGAGCGAGAGAGGGGGAGGGAGGAGAGACGGGAGAGGAGGGAGGATGCCAGGGATGAGCGACCTGTTCGAGACACCCGGGACGATCGTAAGATGAGGCACGTCACTTTTAAATGTTCATCAGTCTTTTTCTGACTTCATTCATTCATTCATTTATTCATTCATCATTCACTCATTTATTCATTTGTGGTCACCTCAGGGTGGAATAAACAGTTCCACCTGTCTTTGACCTTGCTCTCAGAAGGCTTCCTTTAGAGAGACAGAACTCTGTTCAAGTTAAAGTCACATCATGTTTTCTTGCACAGAAAAGAGACATTTTCTTTTTATTTATATAAAAATTTATTATTTCATACAGAACATTCATTATAATGATTCAGAATAAAATAATTATAAAATGTTTCAAAACAAAGCTCAACCATAATGCAAAGTTTAGTTAAGTAAAATATTTAAACTTACAAATCTATAATCAATTACTGTGGTTTCACAGTTCAAGCAGTGATTTACATCAAAGCACAATAAAACATTTTAATAACATTCTTTTTGTGTTTTCTTTTTTATACATCGATAAAATTATGAATAAAAGAAGATTATTCTGTTTATTATCAAAATAAAAATAAAATGTCTCTTCTGTTTAAGAAAACCTGTTATGACTTTAACTCGAACAGACTTTTGTCTCTGTGAAGGAGGCCTTCTGAGACCAAGTTAAAGACAGGTGGAACTGTGCATTCCACCTCGAGGTGACCACTATACATTCATTTATTCGTTTATTCATTCGTTTGTTTGTTTATTTATTTGTTTGTTTTTTTCGTTTGTTCATTTAGTCACTTAAGAGAAATCTTACCTTGATGAATCACAAAGTTTTACTCTCTTTATTCTCATCTCTTTTACATTAGCATGAAGTGAGTGATCCTATGATCACCTCTGTGCTACACACAGGTTTTGTCGTTCACGAGTCTGTTGCTTTTCTTTAACTGCCCTCTTTTGTTCTCTCTTCAGTCGGAAGAGGATGACGGTGGAGAGGAGCCCGAGCCCCCGACCCTCGCCTAAACGAGCAGCGCGGGACTTCAGCCCGGCAGACAGCGACGGCTACAATAGCGCTGAGGACAAAAGTGAGCGTCTGACTGGCCGAGGGCAGGCCAAGCCCCACCCACAGCCCCTCCTCCTCAGCCCAGTGTGTCCGCCTCCATCTGACAGTAGGAAACGTCTTTTTGAAAAAGGGACACACTTCTGATTAATGGGGATAAATAAACCACAACTCTTTGTGGAAATGCATAAATTTTTTAATTTATATGACTTGAGATTCCATCATTAGCTGTTTCTCCAAATTAGCAAAGRTAATATTCTTAGCTAACATGTTAATACGTAACTGCTTTCTTAAGATGTCTCCATGGTCGTCTTGTGTGCAGGCGGGGACAAGCATCGTCTGCTGAGCCAGGTGGTGAGGCCTCAGGACTCCTTGTCAAGGTCGCCTCCAAGAAGTGCTGCGCYCAGCGAAAAGGCCGCTCACTGGAAGGAGGAGGAGCGCAGGGGAGCCGTGGACAAGCGGGAGGCGCGCGGTCGCCACGAGGAGCTGGAGGCCCGAGCAGATCGAGGCAGAGGAGGCGACAGACGTGGAGAGTACCTGACGGACGCGCCGTCCGACTCTCGAAGCAGAGGCAGAGACCAGAGAGATTCAACTCCTCCCCCTCCTCCTCCTCCTCCTCCTCCAGCTGTTGCCACTGCTGGTGAAGACAGAGACGTTGCTGTTTCTCAGACCCACGAAGAGGGCAAAAAGAAGACCAAGTCCCAGAGGAAGGGTTTAAAGAAGGGCCGCAAAGAGGAGGATGTCGCCGGTGGCAGCAGTCTGGCTGCGGTGGCGGCAGCGGCAGACCGTTTCAACCCCGAGCCTCCAGCCGCCGCCCCTGCAGAGGTGCCCCCGCTTCTACACTCCCCGAGAAAAGGAGCCAAGAAGAAGGCGCACGACCGCAAGAGGAAGCGCTCACGAGGAGGCGAGTCCGATGCTTCTGAGGAGGACGCTTCAGCCCATCAGCCTCACAATAAGAGGAAGAGAGGTCCCCGGACACCGCCGCCCTCCATCAGGCCAGACCACCACGTAGCTGGAGGGTCTGCAGAGTCTGCCTTGTTTTCTCAAAGGAATAATTTCAGTGATTGGACAGATGACGACGATGATGCAGCAGACAGAGGAGGCCTGATGGAAACACAAGCTCCCCCGGCTCCCGCTGAGAGGACTTTGATGGAGCCGTTGAGGAGAGGCGGCGGTCACAGATTGGGCAGGGAAAGGGAGAGGTGTAACCCACCACCCATAGCCCCTCTGCTTTCCCAGGACCCCCCGATGTTGCTCCAAACGATGACCCTGCAGCCTCTCATGTCACAGCCTCTGCTCCGCAAACCCCCTCCAGAGCAGACGCGCAGCAGCAGCATGGGCAGCAACCAGAGCCGTACGTCTTCTCGACGCCTGCGATCGCCCTCTGACGAGCCCGCTCACCCCGAGGACCCTCAGGGTCCGCGTTCACGCCGGGGCAGGCCGCAGGGATCTGGCTCTCGGGACCGAGAGCGAGAAAGAGAGCACGAGAGAGATCGAGAGCGCGAGAAGCTGGCGGTGAGCGATCCACTGGGGGTGGAGAGGAAATCACGAATTGATCAGCTGAGGAGGGGGGAGCCCAGCCGCAGCACCTCATCAGGTATGTGAACAAAAACCTGATCAGCATTGGCGTCTCGTGAGGCGTGGCTGTAACAAAAACCTCCATTCTTCTTTCGCAGATCGGCAAGATTCCCGCAGCCACAGCTCGAGACGCAGCTCTCCTGATTCCGAGAGGCAGGCCAGGTCCAGGTCCCGCGCCGGTTCCTACGACAGCCGAGAACGGGAGAGAGACAGGGAGCCGTTCGACCGAGACAGAGAGCGAAAGGACCACCGGCCTCAGCAACCTCCGCCACAGCCTCTGCACCTCCAGCAACCCATCCAGCAACAGAGGGACTGGGAACCAGAMCCTCGAGACTGGCCGAGCAGGGGAAGGGAGCCCCTGCTTGTGCGTCCAGGTCGAGAACCTCTGCTGAGGGAGAGGGACCGCCTCATCCCTGAAGGACTCATCCAGCAGCACGAACGGGAGCGAGAGAGGGAGCGGGACAGAGACGGCCGAGGAGAGCGGGAGAGGATGCTGATGGATCTGCCAGCGCACGGCGATCCAAGAGCTCCAGGACGAGGAGACCTGAGAGGAGAAGTGATGAGGCAGGACAGGAGCGACTACGAGCCTCTACTGCCCAAAGAAGCCTTCAGTCCTCAAGAACCAGAGAAGCCCAGTAATAGCCATCTTACTGTGGGAGATCAGAGGGAGCTTGAGAAGACGGAAAGTGTTGATGGTAAGATTTTAAAACTGTTTTTATGTCTCAATGTGCGTTTTGATGGTTTTAAATAAAGCACTGTTTTCCAGGAGAAGAGGATGAAAAAGAAGACGAGCAGTCAGTCGCATCTGTCGGTGAAGAGTATGAACCCATCAGTGACGATGAGCTGGATGAAATTCTGGCTGACAGTCAGAAAAAAGATGATCAGCAGGAGGAGGAGAAAATTACAGGTATGAATAAATGTCTTGGATCAGTCCGTTCGCTCGTCTTCGCTGCCGTTTCTCACAAACAAAACACAACAGTTAATCTGCACCTCCATGTGCCGGCAGGTCCGCTGGATGTGATCGATGTAGACTGGTCCAGTCTGATGCCCAAACAGAAACAGGAACCTCGGGCAGCAGGTGCAGCCTTGCTACGTTTCACCCCTGGGGCTGTGCTGCTGAGGGCCGGCGTCTCCAAGAGGCTTGCGGGTCCTGAACTGATGGAACAAGTCAAAGAGGTGTGCAAGTCTGAGCTGGACGATCCTAAAGGTGAGTCTAAAGGTTCTTCAATGATCACGAGCTTGAAAAGGTCACATCCAAACTATTCATAACCTCTGCTGTCAGAGAGGCTAACATTGAAACCATTGCAGATGATTATAGTGTGGTTAAATAATCTCATCATGCTTGGGAGCAGCTTAAATCTTCATTAGAAAAACTTTGAACGATTATGGTTTGTTTGGAAGGTTTTTGGGGAAAAGTTCAGTTTGTGAACAAAACTAGAGTCAACTGTAGCCTGTAGCACATTTGAATGTTGGTCCAGACTAGGTTGTGTAACATGGACCGTCACTGCCCAATTCATACCGTCAGCACATGCGCCAGAAGAAATACTGCCAGGAAGGCTTTGTTTGTTTTTGCATGTAGCATTTTGCTAGACCAGGGGTGGGCAATCATGGTCCTCGAGGGCCACAGTCCAACATGTTTTACATTTTTCCCTGCTCCAACACACCTGATTCAGTCACTGAACTACCTTTTCCAAGTTCTGCAGTGTGGAGGACCCAAACTGACATAATT